CCCTCCTCCGTCACCCTCCCTCCTCCTCCTCCTCCTCCTCCTCCTCCTCCTCCTCCTCCTCCTCCTCCTCCTCCTCCTCCTCTTCCGCCCTCCTCCTCCTTCTCCTCCTCCTCCTTCTCCTCCTCCTCCTCATCATCATCATTATCCTAGTCCCCCTCCTTCTCATCCTCCCCCTCTTCCTCTCCTCCTCCTCCTCCTCATCGTCCTCATCCTCTCCCTAATCCCCATCCTTATCCTCATCCCTATTTCTCTGAGCAACTCCTCCCCGTCGCACCCCCAGAGGGGTCGGTAGGAAGGGCCGGGCGTTTCGCCTGAGACTTCCCAACCAGTTGTTATCCTGAAGGTTATGGTGCGCAACAGTTTTTCACATATGGAGGGCGGGCCGTTTTCAAAATGTGGCCCTCGCCCTTGCGGCGCGCACAGTTGCTTTCAAAATTTGCAAAACCGTCGAGGATTGAGGGCGGGCTGTTTTCCAAATGTGACTCTCGCCTAATCGACGCGCACGTTCGTCTGAAAAAAGTTCGCAACGGCTTCGAAGATAGAGGGCGGGGAGCTCTCAAAATGCGGCTCTCGCCGTAGAGCCGCGCCCGTTCGTCTGGAGAGTCCGCAGCGGCTTCAGCGGTGGAGGACGGTTCTTTTCAACATGCGGCTCTCGCCCCAGCGCCGCAAATGTTCGTCCAAAAAGAGTGCAACGGCTTCATGGATGGAGAACGGTTCCTTTTCACAAGAAGGCTCTCACCTCACAGCCGCGCACATGCGCGTTTTCAAAGTGTGCAGCGTCTTCAAGGGAGGAGGACGGTTCCTTTCAAGATGTGGCTCTCACATGAGCGCCGCGCAGATCTGTCGTAAGTTTGCAGCAGCTTTGATGGTTCGCATGGCTGAAGTTGCAGGGCTTGGTGTCTCCACGATTTGCAACAATAAAAGGGATCCGCGTTGCAGAAGTCCCAGGAATGTTCTCGCTCGGCTTAAGATTGCCAGGACGGAACAGTTCCAGTGATTCGCGGATTTGTAAGTCCCAGGAATTGCATTCAGGGACGTTTGAGGATCCTCAGACAGTTGTCTTCCAATGGGGCCCGCCCGGCAATGAAAATAAGTATTTGTAGGGGGCTATGAATGCGGAACTTGAAGAGAAATGGCCTACAGCAACATCATTAATGCGCATTTCGTTTACACTGGTCCGCCTACTTCTGCTCCTCGGCCTCGGCCTCTGCCTCCTACTACTCCTCCCCCTCCTCCTCCGCCTCCTGCACCTCCTTCTCCTCCTGCTCCTCCTCCTCTCTCTCTCTCTCTTTCTCCCTCTTCCCCCCTGTTCCCCCCCACACACACACACACACACACACACACACACACACACACACACACACACACACACCTACACAAACACACACACACACACACACATACACACGCACACCTCCTCGTCGCTGGCGCCCCTGGGGGGTGCATTCTGACCAGGACTTCGAGGCAAATACACCCGTGGCGACGAGAGAAGCGCAGCGGCATCGGCAACGCGACTTAAAAGACATGTTTCTCGTCTGGGTCGTTGGCTGCGACCTGGCGGCCCCGACGACGACAACGGCCCGGGAAGGTTTGATTCGTCGTGCACTTCCCAGTGGGGTCGGGGACGTACTGACCTGGGTCAATCCAGACCCGGGTCGGTAGGGCTCTGGAGGATCCTGCAGGACCCTGAGCTCAAGCCTGGGTCGGTGCACCCTGGGCTCTGCAGGACCCTGCAAGATCCAGCGCTCTGGCTGGCCCCGTCTGCAATGGCCCAAGCCTCTTGAGCCCCGAGGGGGCGCTGCGCCCCCCACCCCTGGCATCTGTCCTCACAGGGCAGTTTTTAATACTACATGGGATGTTTAAACATATGTGATGTTTAATACATGATTAATGTATGAATGAATGTATGCATGAACTTATCGCTGTTTTTTAATACTAAATTCCTTCATATGTTATACATGATCCTCACGCAAAACGGCACTGTAGGGCTCTGCAGGATCCTGCAGGATCCTGCGCTCAAGCCTGGGTCGGTGCACCCCTGGCTCAACAGGAGCCTGCAAGATCCAGCGCTCCGGCTGGCCCCCGTTTGCATTGACCCCCCCCGTCTCAAGGCTCCAGGGCGTGTTTGCCGACTCCTTCGCCAGGAGGAGGAGGAGGAGGAGGAGGAGGAGGCGGCGGAGGAGGAGGAGGAGGGGCAGGAGGAGGAGGAGGAGGAGGAGGAGGAGGAGCAGGAGGAGGAGACGAAGAAGGCGCCTGCAACTCATGAGCCCCGAGGGGGCGCTGCGCCCCCCACCCCCGGCACCTGTCCTTACTCGATCGGGTATCTTTGGTGAGGCTTCGGGCTGCGCGCAGGCAGGCCCCCAGCTGGCCTCAGCGGGCCCAACACTGGGGGGCGGAGCGCCCAAGACAGCAGGGGGGGCCTGTGGAGGCCAGCCGGGACTGCTCGGGGGGGCCTGCTGAGGCCAGCCGGGACTGCCTGGGGGGGGAGGGCTGTCCGTGCGCAAGCCGAAGCCTTGCCATCGGGCTCTGGACCTTTTTGGTTCTCCCCCTTCCGGGCGGTGTGGGCTATTGGGCCCCTGCTGGCGATGAGTGAGCGATTGGGGGTCGATGCATCCACCCATGAGCCCTGAGCCTATCCCCCCTATCAGGAGCGTCCAACAGGGAGCCGTCCAATAGGGAGGTTTCGCAGATCATGGCCCGAGGCACGTGAGCGGACGTGAAGGGGGACCAAGAAACGCCTTGAAAGAGGAGGAGGAGGACCCTGAGATCTCGGGTGATCTCATGGCCCTGGCCATGATACCTGCCCCCCCTCTGAACCGCCCCTCTTTGGGCCGCCTCGGACCCTACCGTCCCCCCCCCGACTCATGAGACGAAGCCAAGGCGAGGAAAACTGAAGGGGCCCTGGGACACACAAATAAATACACACAAATAAAAGGATTCCCCCTATGTTCCCATATTTTCCCATATTTGGGTTTTTTTTGTCTTCCCCCCCACTTCCCATATTCTCCCATATTTTCTTGGGAATCGATGATTAATTGTGTCTGTGTGATTTGTCCCTCCTGAAAAGCAAAAACAGGTACGGATAAATCGAGAATCTCTGAGATCTGGCGATCCTCTGGAGGATGTCCGGGGCGCCACGGCCTCCTCAGAACGTACCAGGGAACGCGCTGAGAGCGCCCCGGAGCGCGCTGGAACGAATCGATCCTCGTCCTAGCCCCGCCCGCACCCCCCTGACTCACGACAGTCTTTAGAAGAAGAAGAAGAAGGAGAAGAAGAAGAAGAAGAACCGTCATGAGCATAAACTTTTGGCGCTCCGCTCGGATTTCTTGGATCTGCGCTGGACCCTTCCGAGGCGAACTGGGCGCGCCAGGGCGGCGCTGGAGGCGCCGCCGAGGGGGCCCAGCGCGGATTCAAGAAATCCGTGCGGAGAGCCAAACGTTTATGTTGATGGCGTTTCTTTTGGACGCCCGAAATATGGGCACGTAAAGAATGGGTACAATGCCCAACAACAAATGTTGCCGCAAACCATCAGCGGCCACTGTTGGGCAGGCGGCCTTCTGTCTCAAATGGGCACAGGCCGCGGCGACACCGACAGCGAGCCCTGCTCAGAGTGAACAGGCACTGCTGTTGGGCATTGTACCCATTATTTCCGTACCCATTTCGCTCGTGCCGAAATTTCGTTTTCCGAGGCTCAGGGCCCTTTTTTGAGCAGGGACCGAAAGTCCCGGCATTCCTATAGTCATACCGCGACATGTTCTTAGAACCCAAACATGTTGTAATAACAAAAACAAGGTTCTCAGAACATAAGCCTCACGCGTTGGAACAAGACAGGTCCCAGCCAGAACTGTTCTGAGAACATTTCGTGGAAACCACCGAAAAGGTTCTTATGACATTGCTTGGTAGGGCTATAGGCGAGCCAGGACGCTTCGCCACTGCTTGATTCTTCGAGACTCAGGCTATGTTGCTCCCATCGTACTTATGGACCACATCCCAGGAACAATTTCGAGCACCCGGAAAAGTGTCGAAAGAGTGTCGAAGCAGTGTCCGAACAGTGTCGGACGAGTGTATCCCAGGGCCCGACACGTGCAAACCCTAGAGTTTCGGTACTTGTTGGGGGCGTTCGAAATTATTCCTGGTGATCAAAGCTAAAGTAGGTTGGAATATCAAAGGACGCAGGGCCCTTTAGTAAAACGTGGTTTAGTGAAAACGACCTCGGGCCCAAACCTGGCGGGCGCTAGCCTGGAAAATGACGGCCGCGGCGCCCTCGAGAACCGAAAACGCCCAATTCACTAAGCGACGTGTCAGGGTAGGAGGTCTGTCCACATCCGACTATAGACGAGCCAAGACGCTTCGCCACTGCTTGATTCTTCGAGACTCAGGGCCCTTTTTCGGAAGCCGGGCAAAGGCTGCTAAATCCGTGGCTGCTAAAATCGACCTCCGGGAAATTGTTTTCGTCCTTCCGGGAAGAAGCCTGTTGACCGTTTCGCGCGCCGCGCCTCATTCCGGGAAGCTGTTTTTTCCTTCCGGGAGGGCCATCTTAGCAGCCACGATCTTAGCAGCCCTCGCCCAGCTTTCGTCAAGCACCACGAGGGAGGTCACCTCCACGAAGGAGGTCCACGATGATCTCCCCGAGCCGGAGGCCAGGGATGCCTCGAGCGCGAGGGGGGGAGCCACACCACCAGGGAGAGCCCCCTTGCTCCTCGCACCTCCTCGCCCTGGTGGTGTTGGTGTCGCCTTTCTTGAGCAGGGACCGACCGTCCCGGCATTCCTATAGCCATACCACGACATGTTCTTAGAACCCAAAAATGCTCTAAGAGCAAAAGCAAGGTTCTCAGAACACACACCCGACGTGTCAAAACAGGACAGCCCCGGCCAGAAACGTTCCGAGAACCGCTCGTGGGAACCACCTCAAAAGGGTTCTCAGAACATCGCTCGGTGGGGCTATAGGCGAGCCGGGACGCTTCGCCACTGCTCGGATTTCCTCCCCCGTCGTAGGGCGCCAGGGCGGCGGCGGCGCCGGCTGCCTCGGCAGGTGCGGGGCCACCAGCGGGCACGCCTGAAGGGGGCCCCCCGCGCGGCCCCCGGCGCGCGGACCCCGCGGCCGGGCGGGGGGCCCCGGCCCCGCTCCTCTTCCTCCTCCGCCTCCACCTCCGCCTTCGCCTCGGCGCCTGCTGCGCGAGCGCGGCGCGCGGCGGCGTCCGCGGCGGCGTGGCCGCGTGGGGCGTCCGCGGGGGCGTGGCCCTGTGGGGCGACACTGCGTGCGCCGCCAGGGCCTCGAGGCAGAGAAGGAGCCGAAGGGGCAAATAGGGGGCATACTGATGAGGATGACGACGATGCTGATGGTGATGATGTGGATGATGATGTTGACGCCGATGCTGATGGGGATGCTGATGATGATGACGGTGGTACTGGTGTCTGTAATGACGACGGTGGAGCTGTGAATCAGAAAAAATGATGACGATGACGGTGGTGGTGGAGGTGGCCAAATTGAAGGTGATGATGGTAACTGTGAGGGCGATGGTGATGACAGTGGCTATGATGAGGAGGACGAGGACGATGATGGTGACGATGACGGCGATGGTGACGATGACGGTGACGGCGATGGTAATGATGACGAGGACGATGATGGTGACGATACCGGTCCGCCGGAACCCGACGCCCGCAAGCTGAGGACCAATTCGCCTCGACCCGCCCCGCATGCAAACGGCGCACAGACTGATCAAAAGGCTTCAATACTCTTCTAGTCCCAGACTTTCGCGAACTGCAACCTCCAGTCTGCAGGCCTTGCTCGGTCCTCGCAAGGTTCTGCTCGCTAGCTTGCTCGGCAATTTCATCACGCCCCTTCGCGAAAGACTTCAGATGCCGCCGCGGGAACGCCCCGCATGAAACGCAGAAATAAACCTCCAAGGCAGACTCGCACCAACGAGCGTGACGAGGACGCACCGTTTGATGTCAAATTTGCGCACATCGTGCTCGGGGCGAGACTTGCATGGGCGCCTCCGCCATAACCATCGCCGAGCAGCCCTCCACCAGCCACGTCGCGCTCCTGGCCTTCGGGGCCCTCGGGCCGCAGTCTTCGCGCGCGTGGAATTTCGCATCCCCCATTCGTCTTGTGCCGCGTGCTCCTGGCCACCTGAAGCACGCGGATATCCTTCGCCTCCGCCTCCTTCGCCTGTGCAACTGGTTGCGATGGTTGCGCTTCCACCGCCGCCGAGAGTAGTCGCTGCCCCCCCCCCCCCCCCCGCCGACTGTTGCTGCGACCCCCCCCCCCCCCCCGCCCAACGGACTCCCGTCGCCTCCGCCTTCGGGGCGCGAACCTTCTCTACGATGCCTGCGACAAGGTTGCATGCGAGTCTGTCGACCATGAAGTAGGCGGGGCCCACGCTGGCTTCGGCGACCTCCTCGGCTGCACTGCTGGCCACGATCAGGATCACCCCCACCACCATGAGCAGCCTCGCCTTCTCGACGCGGCCGCAATAATCCACGTGCCTGCGGAGCATACTGCCAGCCCCCAGGGTCTTCATGCTGCTCATTCCATAACTCGAGTCCGCTCTGCGCTTGATTGCGCGGACACCTTGCGCCTCCCTCAGCTGCCCCATCGGCGCAGCGCGCACAGTTCGCCCGGGTCGACGCTCTGCCTCCGCCGCGACCTCCAGCGCGGACACAGCGAGACCCCTTTCCTCGGCCAAGCACAACCCACGCCTAAACCACGCGTCTCGGCCACGGGCACAGCGCAGATTCGCCTCCGAACGCGCCTCCCGCAGCCCAGGACCACGCGCCCTCGCTGTTGAACGCGCCCTCGACATCGCTGAGCTTCCCCTGACATCGCCGCCGCCTTCCGCTGACATGGACACCTCCGCCTGGCCCATGGAAGGCGAGGCCTTTCAGCATCGGGCACGGCGGCAATTCCATCTGGCTTGGCGCCGCGCCCACGTGGCTGGCCGTCTCGTCACGCTCTTTGGCGCCGTCGTTGCACTTGCCCGCGCCAACTCGCCGCCGCAGGCGCCGGCACCGCGCCGAACGCCTGGTGCGAGTGCGCAGCCCTCGGAAGGGCCCGCCCGCGCGGCGTCGCTCGCGCGCTTGCGCCCCGCCGCGCGCGCGGCCGCCGCGGCTCGGCATCGTCTGCGATCTCCCCACCTGCCGATCTGCATGCGCGACCCTTTTCGCGCGTTCCCCCTCGCCACCAATGACGGCCCCCCCATCGATGCCCAAGTCGGGCGCCCGCTTCTCCGCCACGGTCGCAATCTGAGATCTGCGCAACTTCAGCGCGCTCTCCCGGGGCGCCCCCGCATCGCTGCTGGTCGCCGCAGTCTTGGGCGACACCGCGAGGTTCGAATGCTTCACGCCGCCTGCGAAGTCCAGTCCTGCCGCGGCGAGTTGCCACGCGACTGCCGCCCTCGACCCTCCCGCGCGAGCGCGCCTGCGTCGCCCGCGCAGGATCTCGCGTAGACCCGGGGAAACTCGCCCGCCACCCTCTCCCTGCCGAAATCGATGCCGCGCCTGGCTCCAGCACGCATCGACGCGCCCGGGGCCATCGGCTCCGCGCACGCCACCCTCCGCCCGATCGGCATCGCGCCTAGGCGGCCCAGCATTTCCAGGCGAAGCGCGCGGGCTTGAAATTCAGCTGGGCGCCCTCCTCCAGAGCGAGGAGGAGCCCCGGCGAATCGAGGAACTCCACCAAGTCCCAAGCGAGCGGCCGAAGTATTCATAAGGACAAGGTGGGGACGACGAGGAGGACCCCTGGCGCTCTTTGATGGCGGACGCTGTCCTGGGGGAGAAACTTGAACCATTGGAACAACCCACTCCTCGACTGAAGGGGGCCCCTGGGCCTGGCCATGCCTGGGGGGGCCGCGCGGCGACGCCCCGCCCCCGCCTGGGCCTCCTGAGGCCAGGCAATGCGGCCAGAGCCGCGACCTGGAAAGACGACTGGCGGCGCTCAAGTCCACCGCTGCACTGCAGGCTGCCCCCTCACTGGCGCCCGCCTCGGCCGCGCCAACGCATCCAAGGATGCAAGGACGCCGAGCACGCCGACCGTCCTCCCGCAGCGCCGCCTGGAGGGCGTTCTGGGCCTGGGCGCGCTCCCACACGGCCAGTTCGCCCGCGCCGTCCTCTGCGAAGAGCTTAATCATATGCCCGAGGTTGAACGCGAGCTTCGTCAAGATGTGGTTCACGACGCCCCGCGTATCCTTCTGATTGCCCTCGCGCACGCCCCTTCCCCAAAGGTTGGTCTTGTCCAACCAAAAGCGGGCGTGCTCGAGAGACTTCAGGATATGCTGCTTGTCACCGCCCTCGAACTGGCACGTGGTTCATGATTGGCGGCGCGATGGGGCCCGCCAGGCAGGAGCTCCACGCCATAAAGGGGCGCCCCCTCTGGAACGCGAAAATGGCCCAGGGACCTCGGGTTTGGACCACGGGCCCCGCAGCTCGATTTTGCGAGTGTTCCGAGAGCGCCCAAGAACCCTATATGTTTAAAGGGGAGCGCCAGGGCGTTTGTCATGGCAACTGCTTGGTTAATAGCCAAATCCCCCTGGGAGCGCGCGTGCAAGTGCATCTTCGTCGCCGCAGGGGGCCCGGAGAAAAGGCCAGCCTGCCAGCGCGACACGGCGCGGCGCCAAAAGCGCGACGCCCCCACAAAAACTCGCCGCCCGCGCGCGCTGGCGCACGGGAGCGGGGCAAGGCGGCGCGGACGCGCACGCTCAGTCCAAGTGGGCAGCGCCCACGGAGCACGACAACCTTAGCCAAAGTGACCACGAACAACGGGGAGGGAGCGCGCAGGGGAGCGCAGGGAGGCGCCCACAAGAGAAACTGCGCGGCTCGAGCGGCCTCGCCAGAGGGCCCTCTGTCGCAGTCGCTCGAAGCATCGCCCGTCGCGGCCTGAGCCAAAATGGCAACGGACGGGGTGAGGGGCCGAGAAAAAAAGGAGAGGAAGGGGAGGGAGAGGAGGACGACGACGACCTTTCTGCTCTTCCACATCGCCTTCCGATTTTGCCCCACTTGATCCCTTTCCCCGCTCGTCGGCGTGGTCGTCGCCGTCCTCATCATCACCCTCATCCTCCTTATCCTATCCTCATCCCCATCCTCCTCGGGACTGCCCGAGCTGGCCCCAAGTGGCCGCTGCCCCGCCCCGAGGCTTTGAGCGGCCACTGCCCCACCCCGCAGCCAGTGGTTGAACAGGCGGGGCTTGCCGCAGGCAGCTGGATAGATGCCTTGCGCGTGCCCTTGCTCTTAATCCCCATTGTCCGCTCCCAGAATGCACGCGCGACATGTTTTCTATTGTAACCAGCCGCTGGTTGGTAACCAGCCACTTCTTCGAAACGTCGTCGACAGCCCGGGCCTCCAGACTGCCCCGAAAACTCCGGCGCGCGCAGCCCCGCCGCGCGCAGCGGCGCAGCCCCCTCACCACTCGCAGATGTAGGCCTGCATCTGCCCCCTCAGGGAGTGGCGCCGAGGCAGCCGAAGAGGGAAGCCAGCTCGCCGCCTAATCCTCCCTCGTCTCCAGCTTCTCGCGCCACTCGCGCAGCTGCTGCAGACCATCCTTGAAGAAGGCCTTCGGCAGCGTCGTGAAGGCCTTGCTCATGAGGCAGGCGACGGCGGAGAGCGCGCTCTTGTCGGCCTGCGGGTCCAAGTCCGCGTCGACGATCAGCCGAACGAGGTACTGCAACCAGTCCTGGCGCTCGCCATCCTGCTCGCTGTTCTTCGCCCAGTCCTTGGCGCCAGGGTCCCACTTAGGAAGGCCCATCACGATCGGCCACGTGCCGAAGGGGGCCCACAGCGACGACCCCCCCTGCATCGTGAAGATAGGGGATGCCTTGATCACATCGGCACTCTTCTCGGAATTCTGCAAGAACGCCTTCATGTCGCTGCCGCCGCCATCCGCCACCGCGGACGCCGACGCGCACACGACAGCCGCGCTGCCACTGACAATCGTCACGTAGTGGGAAGCCCCAGCCCACGGGTGGGACCTCGGAGTGAACTCGAGCGCGAAGTTCTTCTGGTAGAACACGAGGGCAGGCAATCGGGCGCTGTCGCCCGCGTGCTCCTTGGAATCACCTCCGCCGTGGCAGAACTCGTGCTCCGTCGCCAGCGGGCTGTAGCCGTGGGTGCCCTTTTTCTCCACGATGTATGTGACGGACGAGTTCGCCACAGTCTTGATCTCCTCGCCGTACGCGGCGAGCTGCTTCTTCAAGGAGTCGCGCCACGCCGAAAGGCCCCCCTCAGTCTTGGCGAAGCCGAAGGTCATGAGGCCATTCGCAGGCTGGCCCTTGCACTCGCC